CCTAATCATTATCCTTATCCACAATATCCTCGGACAAAACCAGGCTCCATAATGGAATTTCTCATTCGAACTAAAAGTCCCGAGGAATTGGTTGATTGCTTTCCTAAAAATAGCATTTGTAACTTCTGTGGAGGTGGTCACCATTCATGTCTTTGCCCCATTCCTCCATACGACCATCCTTACTGGGCAACTGCATACCCCACTTCGTCCTCCCCACAACTTACAAAGACAAATGTTTCAATCACTCCTACGTCTTTGCCGAGCTATGAGCCACAGGATTCAGACGACGAATTGGAAGAGATAATTTCAGAGAAGCTGTCTGACCTGGAAGAAACACTCAAACGTTTCATACAAGCTTCTGAGGTAAATAATCAACAAGCAAATGCAAGGATGCAAAACATGGAAAATCACTTGGATCAGCTGTTTAATGCCTTATCTGAGGAGTCCGAGAGATCCCATCCTAGCGACACAGAAGCCCAATCTGAGGAGACCAATAGGGATGATCATGGGATTGAGTCAGACTATGATGGTGGAAATATGATGGATGATACACTTTCCGATGCTTTTGAAGACCCTCCTATGTTTGAAGATGAAGAAGAAGATAATAGTATGAAGTTGTTTTTCCAAGAATACAGGAAAAAGTTTGAAACGGTACAAGCTGTAACTGATGAAGTCACAAATCACTGTGATCTTCATACAGAAACTCCCCAGCCGTTTGATTTACCATTAGTCTCAACACCTGAGGAGGGCAAGGAGAAGATCAATCATGATGATGGTGCTACTGAGGTAGGTTTGGGTATTGAAGATGAGTTGGGAAAAGATGATTACATGCTCCAAGAGAGTGAGGGCGAGTTAGATGATGTCCGTAATGAAGAAGTCCCGCTCCACAAGCAAGATTACCCTTCTTGTACACCTGCACCGATCCACTCTTACGTGGTTTCAGATTTGGATTTCTCTGATTCACTACTTGATGATATTCCTTTTTGTACGGAGAGTGACAACATCATCCAAGAAGACCCTGATGAGAACGGTGTTAACGAGAGTTGGGATGCCTTCATGGGGAGTGATACAGAGTCCAGAGGAGAGGTTGTAAATTTTCATGATATTTGTGAGGAAGAAGAAGACTTCTCTATGGTGCAGTTTGATTACGGTGTTGCTCCTACTCCTTGCTTGGAGACATGTTTTGAGCTTGCGGTGATGCCTAGAGTAATCAAAGTTTTCACTCATGTTCTCTGTCCGCCCGAAGAGGATGAGAGTTTCATACTTCACTTCTGTGCTGATGAGGGTTATGAAGACCATGTGCCGCCTACGCATATTCGAGAATTTAAGGATCTGCGCCACCTAATGGCATTTGTTGAGGGGAAGCTGGAAACGTTGATTACTAGTGCACCATTACAGTCATTGCTATTTGAGAGCTTACGAGGTATCGTCGGGCAAACGACGTTAAAAATAGCGCTTCTTGGGAGGCAACCCAAGCTTATTTCTGCATTTTTGTTTGTTTTTTTGCTTTCAGAAAACCTGCGAAAAAAAAACAAAAAAAAATCTGGGGTGTTTTTTGGGTTTGTTTTTGTGTTTGTGCGTTTTGTTTTTGCAGCTCAGGGTCTTGCTTTGGGAATGATGTGCCGAGGATCACTTGACTCAGTTTAGTTCTGCACCGACAGCACCTTAGGGAAGTTTTTATGACTCTAATAATCGCCTGTTTGTAATAATTGACTTGAGTTAAGTTGAGCACGCGTGATCCTATCCTCTTTACCCCCTTGTGCATAGTGCATTTTTGGTCATCGAGGACGATGCCAAAGTTTAAGTGTGGGGGAGTGAATTGTCGGGCAGTAGTTGTTACATGTGATTTTTAGAGTTAGCATGCGCATGTGTTAGTTGTATGTTCATAGGAAATTCATGTCAAAATTTTTGAAAATTTTTCTTTAAACTGTGTCTTTGTGAGCTGGCTAGCGTTTGACTATGCTTTTAAAATGTCCTTGAAGTGTTTAGGCTTAAATTGCTTGCACTATAATCTGGTTGTTGAAAGGATGAAGGCATTAGTCACTCATGTAATGAATTAACAATTTTCCCATTCACCTGAATAAGTTCCTTTAGGAGAAGCCATTTTGAGCATGACCGTTCATTGTTTGCCCCAATTAATTGAGCTCCATAGCCAAATGGCCTCTATTTCCTTACCCGTGAATATTTCTGCCTTAATCTTGATGTTTAGGAAACTAGGGGATTAATTTGCTAAGTTTAGGGAATTTTTGTAGGCGCCATTTTTGGCATTGTTCCTATGCTCCAAATGGGGTAAGAGCAGTAATCTTTTAGGAATTTGATACTTTCGAGGATTGCATTGTAGGCATGGATTCACTTTTAAATTAATGAACTTAAATTGCTATTTTTCCTTGGTGAGGCCGAGATTAGAATGGGGTAATGTCTAGTGAGAATCCGAAAGGTGAAAAATTAATATAGCTAGACCTCTTACTTTGCGAAAAGGGAATGGGAGCCCCGGTCAAAAAGCGTAAGATGAGACTTGGGTATCTTTCGAAAGAAACGGCGTTCTCGTGCCAACATGACAAGGAAAACTAAACATAATTAATGAACTTGGAGGCTATTATAAAAATTTAGCTTTAGTCCTCCGTGTACTTCAAGTATACGTCAAAGCAAAAATGTGCCGAGACGGTTTAGCTTAGTTGTACACCATATCTACTCTTTGCATAGGTTTAAAGGATTGTTCCTAAATTGTGGCCTACTAAGTTCCTTGATCCTAAGAATAGCCCTGTAGTTCCTGAATACATTGAGTCTTTGTTAGAATATTCAAATCTCTCAAAACAAAGGGACTATTATTGTTACCATTCACCCTTCACCACCATTTTCACAAGTCCTTCTGATCAGTAGCTAGTTTATTTGTGTGTGCTGTCACTACTTTGAGGATGTTGTGAATAATTTTGTCAAATATTTTAGCTAGAGTACAAAGATGTAGTTTAGGGAAGAATTTTCCTGGTTTAGTCTGCCTATTCTTTGAATATCCCTTTAACTACGTGTGCATGCTAATTGTTTTGATTCCGTGTGGTGATTATCGTAAGTCCTGTTGTTCAGTTTGCTTGAGGACGAGCAAAGGCTTAAGTGTGGGGGAGAGGGCGTAGTTTTTTAAAGCGGGGGGGGGGGGGGGGGGGGGTAGCTAGTTAGATAAAGTGTTAGACATTTGTTTTATTGCAGTCGTTATTAATTGACTGTTAAAGAGTTGGACAATCTCTCAAGAGTCCCGCTTCGTGTACACGCCAGGTTACACGCCGGTCAAATTGTCTGTGTACAGACAATTTGATCGGCTACACAGACAATTTGACTGGCATTTCATGAAGAAAATTGATTTCCATATAGACAATAAAATAAATAGTTGTCTGTATCACAGACATTTTAGACCAGAATTTTTCATAGTGTCTGTGATACAGACAATTTTTTTTTTGTCTGTATGAAAATAGGTTTTTTTTTCATAAAACGCCAGTCAAATTGTCTGTGTAGCTAGTCAAATTGTCTTTACGCAGACAATTTGACCGGCGTGTAACCCGTCGTGTAAAACTTGGTGTGTACAAAAGGAATTTTCCATCTCTCAATGTTTTGACTCATGGGTACATGAATATAATGAATAATGTGAGCAGAAAATGTAGAAAAGACATTTAGTTAATTAAACAAGTGATTTGGCCGTGGCACACACATACTACCTCTTTTCTTTCCACGGAAGTTGGTCAAATTTCATTTTTTGATCGTCCAAAAACAAATTAGCATTTTCATTTATAGTAATAAATATGTAGTTAAAGTTATTTCTCGATCTCTCATTTGCAAAAATCACAACCACATAAATTTACTTCATTATTTACGTGCAAGTTAACTTTGACTAAATTTTATGGAAGAAAGAGAGGGAATATCATACTTCTCCTGTTCTTTAAAACTTTATCAACTTTTCTTTATTGGATGTCATATTAACTTTGCCACTTTCCCTTTTAAGTAAATGATTTTTGGTTCCGGTTAATTCTCTCTCTTCTGCACAAACCTCAACCACACAGTTTTTATTTTATTATCTCCGTGTTGGTTAAACTTGACAAAGAGCCTGTTTGGTAGCACGAAAATCGGCTGATTTGGTTGATTCTGCTGAAATTTATGAAGTTCTGGCTGAAATGGCTGCATTGGCTGATTCTGCTTGTTTAAGAAAAAAAATATTTTGAAAATATATTTTATTAATAAAATAAAGAAAAAATTATTTGTAAAAATAGCTCAAATAGTCATCTACAGTAATTTCAGCCAATACAGCCAAAAAAGTAACATCAACCTTACTTTTTCTGCTTATTACACAATTTAGCGCGCGAAAGCAAAAGTTACGTGGTTCCAAACAAGCTCAAAGTTTTATTTCTTTTACTGTCACTCTGCTGACTGAGTCACCGTGACTTACATCCTCCCATGTGCTCTGTCGGGTCGGGAGGCGCTTGGGGGTGACGATTCAAATTTTGGATCAAAGGAGGTAGTATATGGTTTGCGCAAGTGGATATGATGATGTATGGAAACAGAAAAGGAAGTAATCAATTGTGATGATTACGGTCAGTGTCACATGCGAGCACGATGCATCTGCTAAGTATGCTTTTGCCCTTTCTGTCTTTCCTATTATGGATAAGAAAATAGATAACAAATGTCGGGATAATGAACGAAGGAAAACCACCCACAAGTCCTGACAAATCATATGCGTATGGTAAGAGACCAAATACAAATAACGCCGCTGGCTAGCTGCTGCTTACTGCATGCCAACTTGTGCGGTACAATTTATTACTCCCTCTGTCCCTAAATGTTGTTCCAACTTTCCTTTTTGGGATGTCCCAAAAAGAAGTTCACTTTTCCTTTTTGGCAAAGAATTTGTGGTTCACAGCATTTCTCTCTCCTCTGCACAATTCTCCACCACACAATTCCCACTTTCTTAATCACCGTGCCACTTTAATTTGGAACAACAATAAGGGACGAGAGGGAGTATTAACCAAATATAGAATGAAGTGTTATTTCTCTAAAATGTCTTTGACTTTGCATATCATAATTATTCTTCACAAAATGTTGTAAATAGAGTGTAAAATCTAAGAGTTTTGTATATGAGATGCAAAATCTAAAAGTTTTGTACTTCGTATATGAGGTGCAAACTCAAAATTTCCCTTATTATTAACCCATAAAAGGGAAAACCAAATATAGAATGAAGTGTTGTTTATCCAACCAGACAGGGTGAGGTTAGGGATAAAATGGAAGCCCCACCGTATATGTGCCCCGCCGCTGTATGTATCTTACCACATCAGAAGCACTTCGCTCACGCGCGAACTTTCTTCGCTGCTCCATGTCTGCATTAGCATGTCACATTCTCACTTTAACTCTAAAGAGGGAGGACTTGGACTTCTCGCCCCCAAGAAAAACTTGTGATGTGCAAATATAGATATAAATATTTATAAATAATAAAAAATATATTGATATTTTAAAATCTACCCTTTCATATAATTTTGGGAAAAGTACGGAAAAAACACTTGTGGTTAGATCCTTTTTCAGATAAGGTCGTGTGCTTTATTTTTTAACAAAAATGCTTCATGTATTTAAACTCTGTTATCACAACAGGGTTCTGGCGTCTGATGTCGTTAATAGTAACTCCATTAAGAAAGATGGCCTAGAGGTCGTCACGTTGAGGCGCACTTCTCATTATTTTTTTCTAATTGTTCGGCCACTTTTGAAAATTGGAATTATTGTTCATCTTCTTCCTCTAGCGATTTCTAACGACATCATACGCATGGATCCTCTTGTGATAACAAAGTTTAAACACATGAACTGTTGTGTTAAAAAATGAAACACATGATCCTATTTAAAAACGGGCTCAACCACATGTATTTTTTCCGTACTTTATGGGAAAAAGTTTATTTCTAGAATCGATAAAAGAAAGAACCAAATTGTTTACCAAAAATTTTAAGGAGACCCATATGATTCCCTTATAGACAGGGGTGGAGATAGGGAGAGGCTGGAGGAGGCCTCGGCCCCTACAAACAACAACAACAACAACAACAACAATATCCAAGCCTTAGTCCCAAAGGGATCGGCTAACATGAATCGATACATGATGTCACCAAAAGGAAAAGAAAGAAAATAAAGATAAAAAAGATAAGCTATTATAAAAAAAGATAATATAAAAGAGATGAATATACATATAAAAGATAAAATAAAAAGGATAAAGTAATATTTATATATAAGGATAAAAATATAAAAGAAAAAAAAGAAGAAAAAAAGAGGGGAAAAGATGATACAAGATCACTCCTCCACACGAATACCCGCCCTCCATTTTGCTCTCTTCAAAGTCATACCCTCATTCAATCCAAGAAGAAGCATATATCACTTCTGACGCCCCTAACCCACGTCTGTTTGGGCCTTCCTCTCTCTCTCTCTCTCTCTCTCTCTCTCTCTCTCTCTCTCTCTCTCTCTTCCCTACCTCTTCTCCACACCTCTCAACTCATCTGATAGGTGCATCACTCGGTCTTCTATGCACATGACCAAACCACCGTAGGCGCGACTCCCGCATCTTATCTTCAATAGGTGTTACTCCCACCCTTTGTCTGATTGTCTGATTCCTCACGCGGTCCTTTCTAGTATGCCCACACATCCATCGCAGCATGCGCATATCTACCACACTCATCTTTTGAATGTGACATTGTTTCACCGCCCAACACTCCGTGTCATACAGTAATGCAGGCCTAATTGCTGTCCTATAAAATTTACCCTTCAGTCTAGTCGGTATACCTCGGCCGCATAGAAATCCTGACGCACTCTTCCACTTCATCCACCCTGTTCTGATTCTATGGGATACATCTCCATCTAACTCACCGTCCTTCTGAATTATGGAGCCCTGACCCCTGCAAGAAAAAAATTATTAAGTATATATTATGTATAAATACTTTTAATCTATAGAAAATAAGTTGATATTTTAAACTTTGGCCCCTGCAATATAAAATTGTTAAGGACCAGCCTCCTCAGTCATACTTTTCTGGCTCCACCATTGCTTATAGAATCATATGGGTATTGTGACAAGATCATCCTCATTCATTTATTTAGTTGAGACCCGTACTAAATAAATGAATGTGGATGGTGGTGCCATATTACCACAATACCCTATATGACTCCAAAATAGAGGTTCCATAAAACTTTGTCAGTTTGGACAAAACTGCTGCTGCTACTTTTTGCTTAAAAGAAATTAACAGTGGCCGGCCGGAATAGCTAGCTAGCTAGGCGACTTGACATGTCTCGTACCCATCCGCGGCCAAACGATTCCCATCACTGGAATTGTTCGTTACACTTGCACAGCTAATACGAGTAAATTAAAGACTTTTTTTCTAAACTAAGGCTAAAAAAATAATTAATTACAAAAACAAGGTTGGGTTAAAAATATTTATCAAAGTACTGTTGGAAAAATGTGTTGAAAATTGCATTAAATGTTCATTTTGGGGCAATTTTTTGAGTGGGGTCCACTTCCGATTTGGGTCAGGTCAAAGTGGTTTCGGATTGTCCTTGTTAAGAGCTACAATTCGATATGTGGTACGTTCAAAACGGATAACGGGTGAATGAGAAATTGATTCTCGAAATTTACCCGTTAAATTGAGAAAACTGGGAAAAAGGATGGGTTTCAAGTGTGTTATTTCCCACACCGGAAAACCCAAGGGATTGCAACCCTTTATAAAGGGACTCCCCCCTTAAGGAGTTAAGATTCCCAAGGGTAAAGTCTCTCTCCACGCGCGTAGGGGGGGCAAATCAAATCTCGAAATCGGAGAAAAAAAACCGCGACTTGCGTGCGCGGGCGACCTGCGGACACGAATGTCGCCCAAAAATCTATCTCTCAAGAGATACGATTAATTTTTGTGTTCTTCCCGAAACGTTTATGTTTTCCCAGAACTGCTGCCCGGACAGAACACGTCTTCCGCGCATCAGAACTGCTCGACACGGGACAGAAGGCCTGGCGTCTTCTACTACGGAGCTCGGACAGAAGGCCTTCAGGTCTTCTGTTGCGAAGCTCGGACAGAACACCTCGAGGTGTTCTGTCAGTTACAGCAATAAATGTCCAACGTTCTTATCTTTTAATGCAGCGTTAAATGGACAATTCATGAACGATTCAATGTCCAACGGACTGGTCATTTGTAACACCGTCCCCAAATGTATTTACTTGTAAGTGAATAATGTATTGAACCTTGTATAATGGTTAATGAGAATTCGAAGTTGTGAATTTTTATTAATTATTTTGCGTGAATAGTAAATTCGCACGTGGGGCCCACACCGGGAGCGGGGGCCGCCCGATATTCCCGAGACCGTATATTTTATCCATCTTGGTCAATATAATATTTATATAGTGGTGGATAATTTATTGGTCCAAAGAGATGATATAGAGTTGATCGGTTGATCAAAAAGGCCAAAATACCGTTACTGGTAATTTAACGGATAAAAGCCCGAAATGAATTTCGGAGACTATAAATTAAGGTTGGGAAATTTATATTCATTATAAGGGTCATAATGATTAAGAAACACATAATATATTTTATTTGACCCGATAAAGTAAAATACAGTTAAAACAGTCCGAAAAATACAACTTTCGGGACCCATTGTACACATTGGGACACAAGAGGATGACCTCCCACATGAGTGGGGGCCACCCCACGTTTTTTTGTGCTAGAATGGACAAGGGGGAGCTGGGTTGACAAGAGGATGAGTGGAGGAGGTGCAAAGGGGCCCTTTGACCTCACTCATTGGCCATTTGAGACAAAACCAAGTCTCACAACCCATCCCCCCTACCATATTTCGGCCATCACAAGGAAAAGAGAGAGGGGGGAAGCTTTTCAACTCCATACTCCATAGCTAATTCGAGCCCAAGCAAGGAAGTTCCAAGGAGGAAGATTAAAGGGAAAAAAAGGCTAGGAAAAGTGAGAAAGATTAAGGTAATGACCTTGTATTAACTTTTCCTTTATTTTTTCCCCTACCCTATGAGATACATATCTTATGGAGAACCCTTGAGGTTGTTCTACATGCCAATAGTGTGGAATAATGGGTTGGGGAGTAGTTCTAAGTCCAAGAACGGACTTAGAAGCCAAACCGCGACCGGTTCACCGGAAAATAACCTTTTAAGGGTTATGTGTATTGATTAAGGTTTTATGATGTTAAAACCTTGTTAAGGAACTTGATTTAGAGTATCTTTGAGCTTCGCCGGAGTTTCGCCGGAGTTGGTCAAAGTTGGCCGGAGTTGGTCAAAGTTCACCGGAATTAGTCAAAGTTCAACCGCGGAGCGTAGAACACGCTTAAGCTCACTTAAGGTGAGGATGACCGACTATATTGCTTATAATTATTGGGTTAATTTCATAAGATTACCTAAATGAATTATATGTGTTTGGCATGATTTATTTTTAATAAAAATGCCTAAATGAGATTATTATTGTTTATAAGCAAAAATGCATAATATACAAATTTATGAATAAATTGTGTATGATTATGTGTTATGAATACAATGGTATAGTAGTTGTGTAGACTATAAATTAAATTGTGATAAATATACTTTTACCTCATGTAAGGAAGTCATGGAAGGATAAAAGTGATATTTTGATATTAGGGCCAAGTTATACTTGAATGTGGAATTAAATTGAAATATCCAAATTATTATGAATGTGCATTGGTTTATTAAGATTTAATGACTAGTATAGGAATACTAGTCGGGAATGTTAGTTCAATAGCTTTTGGGAGCTAATCCCAAGATTTTGGAGTTGAGTAACCTTAAAGGATATGTTTAAGGTGGACTTTATGAACTCAAGTTTCTTTTGGAGTAGGCCTTAAGGGTTACTCGAAATGGATGAAACCTAGACTAAGAAGTGGTTTAGGGATTAGTGACGTGACTATGAGCCGAGCTCTAGCACGTGGTAGTATGACTATGAGCCGAGCTCTAGCAAATGTAGTGTGACTATGAGCTGAGCTCTAGCACAAATTAGTATGACTATGAGCCGAGCTCTAGCAAACGTAGTGTGACTATGAGCCGAGCTCTAGCACAAATCAGTATGACTATGAGCCGAGCTCTAGCAAACGTAGCGTGACTATGAGCCGAGCTCTAGCATGAAGGAATATGAGTTATTTACAATGAATAACATCTTAGATTGAGGGTCTTGGAAATTGAAACTTTGATTATACTTAGTGATAACCGCTTTCGCGGCGTTGTAGTAAAACGGAGTCTAACCTTTCGGTTTTTCCCCGAGTGTCGTGTCTCTTGAGGAATGGCGGAGAAGTTTCTTAATTTAATTTTAGTCACGGGCTATCGCTAATCGTTGGAAGCCTTTTCAATATAGGAAAGTGTTTTTGTTCTTTATTATGCTAAATTATAACTAGGAGCAAGGTGCAATTTAAAGATTAATGTATAAAGACTATTATTCAAGGATGCAAATAAGGGCAATGAATTGAGTAATTAGAAATGGATATGTTCTTGGACCTCTTAATTAGGGAAATTAAGACTAAAGTTGGACTAATAATTTCTTTCCTCATAGACAAGAATAGAAACTATCTTCATTAATTTATCCTATTTCTAGGTATCATTAATGTGTTTAAAATGGTTGGATTAAATTATATTCTAAACCCATAGACAAGGTAGAAATAATTTTCCAATATTTTAATTAATAAAAATAGCCAAATTCATTAACTAGTTAAACTCTTTATTTTAGCAATTGAATTTATTTCTCATAGACAAGATGTAAATCCTTTTCATTAAATTATCCTATTTCTAGGCCTTATTAATGTGCTCAAATATGGTTGGCTTAAATTAATTTCTAATCTCATAGACAAGTTAGAATTAATTTTCCAAGAATTTAATTAATGAAAATGGCTAACTATTATTAATTACTATTTCATCATTTTAAACAACTAGTCCAATTTATTAATTTTACCCCCTAATTTTAGGTCAACAAGTCAATCCATATTCCTTTACTCAATTCATGCCCTAACAAATTTAGCTACTCATTATCATTTTTACAATTAACGATATAATAATTAAATTTAACATTAACAAGGAATTAAACATGTATGATAGCAAAAATTAAACAAAAATTATATTCTGGAACAATAAACTTGTAGGAACTAAAATACAACTTTCTGTAATTTTTTACGAATTTTTGAAACTAAAATCCAATTTTAACAACTAATTGATAACTTTCCCAATTTTAACTAGAAAATGCAAAAAGCAACTAAAAATATGCTAACTTCGTTATAAATTTTATTTTTAGCTACTGGGAGGTATATAACTGTGAATAAACTGTAATCAGGTCCGAACTAATTTTTTTTTCCTTTTTTAGTATTTATTTTGATTTAAGCAATAATATAAGGCAATTACCGAAAATTAATAAAAAATACTCTAAATTCGTACCAAATTTTATATTAACTACTAGTAATGATATTTAAGTTAACTAAACTGTAAATAGGGCCGAACTCATTTTTTTCTTTCTTTTCTAGTATTTAATCTAAATTATGAACTAATATCAAATAATCATCAAAATTAATTAAAAATTACTTCTGGTTCGTGAAAAATTAATTTCTTCAGATAAATAACTACCTTGAGGCTAGTGAACAACTATATAATTAATTGGAATGAATTCAACAACAATAACTATTTTATTTAATTTTTGGAAGGAAATGCGAAATACTTGAAAAATAATCTGGAAATTTTCGAAGAACAGATCGAAGAAACAAAGCACAGATTCAGATTCTACACATTGAGAAGATGAAAATACATATAAAGAACTTACAATTTGGAGCTAAAATGAAGAAGATATGAAGATTTGAAGTTTCTCTCTCTCTAAAACCTTTGGAGCTCGAAAATGGAGGAAGAAAGAAGGTGTTTTGAACTGATTTAGGGTTGGAAGAGGTGTGTTTGAGTTGAGGAAAAATCGGGCAATTTATAGGAAAAATTTCCCCGAAGGCGCCCGGGCAGGCGGCCGCCTTCCGGCAGCCACTGGCCGCCTGCCGTCAACTCGCCGGCAACGACACGTGGGCTGGTCTCCGTCAGCCGTAGGCGGCCACAGAGGGCGGCCGCCTTCCGTCACCCATCGGCCGCCTGCCGTCTTTTCACTGTCAAATCGGATCCCGGCGGATCCCGGCGGATCCTGGCCGCCGCAGGCGGTCCAGCAGGCGGCCGCCTGCCGTTCCTGTCTGGCCGCCTGCCGTCAAATCCCACCGGCCGGCGGTTGCTTCGTCGTCTTCTGCCGCAGGCGGTCACCGTAGGCGGCCGCCTTCCGTCCAGTGTCGGCGGCCTACGGTCTTTTCCGAATCCGGTCAAAGTCAAAGTTTGACTTTCCAAAAATACCGTAGGCGGCCGCGAAGGCCTTCGTTTTGGCCGCCTGTTTGGGCGCCTATGAGATTCTTTGTCCGGCTTGTTCCTTGTTTTGTGCTCTTCAATATTGTCTTCTGGACCACTTTGAAATAATGTTTCCTTCTTTTGGTATGATATCATTTGTTGTCCAAATTGGCTCATTTTGTGCTCAATTAACCCGAAATCCCGCTAAACATATTATGGATGTGATTTTTACCTGATTTCATGAAACTCGAACCAAAATATAAAAAATGTGTCTTTTCTTTCTATTTTTATTCAAAAATCGCTTTAATTTGATAAGAAAAATAAGTACAAAAATGGACTTATCAATCTCCTCACACTTAAGCGTTGCTTGTCCTCAAGCGACGGAGTTGTAAACACACTCAAAAGGTAAAGTCTAACTGTATTACAATCTAGTTGCTATTTTAAAGAAGTAGAAACAAAAACCTCTTATTTTTATTCTCAATTTTTAAACATTCTAGAAAAATCACCCAAAATACAAGAATTTAAAATTAGTATTACTTAAGAAAAACTATTTATTATGTTAAACCACCAATCAATTCCTTATCCCAAGGTTTTCATTATTCTAATTGGGACATTCATCTTGTTCACCCTTTTTTTTTTTTGCTCTTTTTCACTCTTGTTGGCGGTGTTATCCCATGGTAAATGCATATTTCATTCTCACAGACTGTGATTAACGAATGAAACAGAGCCCCTTTTCGGAGATGGAATTGTCCTATAACAATGAGTTTTGAAGAGGTTTATTAATAGTAACAATTTTTTTTTTTGAATAAAATAAATGTCCAATTAAAACAAATTCAACCCTTTACTTTCGCAACCAAAAACCCATAACAATTTCAAGTTTTCAAAAATAATAATAAAAGTAAATTCATATAATAAGGGTGATTATCTAAACTATTTATGCGATTGATAACAAATTGAGAAATTAATGTTTCATATCAAAAATAGAAAAAAGATTGTTCTAAAATAAGTTTTTAACTTTTGAGTGTAAAGCACAGCCTCCTCACACTTGAGCTAGACCTAGCCCTCGAGGTCTTCTTTTGAGGCACAAAATAAAGACACATTTTTTTTTTTTTTTTTTTTTTTTGGTTCTTTCCTCACACTTGAGTTTTGAAAAGATTTTGTGAAGAGGAATAATGAAACAGGAATAAAATGGTTTTTTAAAATCCTTACATCATCCATAGTCAGCATTCAAGTCAAAAGAGCAGCGCAATGTCCAACCTGAAGAAACAAACAAACACAATAAAAAAAATGTCAAGGAAGAAGCAAAACTAAGCATCGCCTGCGTAATCCCGAGGGCCATAGTGTGGCCTAAGCCAGTCTCTCATCTCATCAATATCTAGCCTCTGGGTCTCTAGCTCCGCCTGCATATCCTGGGTGGCTCTCTCCTGAGCTAATCGAAAGTCTCTGAACTCTCCCAGGGCCGACTCATGCGCCTCTCGTATCTCCTGGAATCCTCTGTCCTGTGCAACCCGCATCTCTGAGACTGAGGTCTGGAGAGTCCGCATCCCATCCATCATCGCTCTCCAATCTGCGGCGCTAGGCATGTCTGAAAAGGGCTCGCTAGATCCCTCATGTCGAGAAGAACTACCCTGCTGGGTCGGCTGCTCAATACCTGGAAGCTCCTGAGTATTCCGCTTCTTCTTGATCCTCATGTTGGTAAAGGATGAGGATCGAAGAACGCGGATGCTATCCTGTAAGTGCAGTAGCCCTGGAATGTCTAGATCTGGGTAGAATGATCTAACGAGAGTAGTGATGAAAGGCCCTGCCTGGATAGTGCGCCGCACAGTCTTCCCCTGGCTCCGGAAGAAACGAGCCATAAGGACAGCCATATTCACCGGGATGCGGTGAATTAAACTCCAAAAGAATAGTATGTCCTTTTTGGACAACCTGTTTGTGTTGTTAGGTCGTCCAAAAAAACCACAAGAAAGTACGAACGAGAGTATGTACCAGTGAGTCGCCCTCCATTTGTTCGAATGGGGGTGCATCCGGAGAAATGATCTGGTGTCTGTGGAGTGTTTGTGCCAGAACTCATCAATGTCAAATGCCTCGGGTAAGCGGGTCGGAAGAGCACGGAACTCCTCAGTCTGTGTGTATGCTGGGGTATAGAGCCCCATCCTCCATCCGAGCTCAGCCACAGTGATGGAGTGCTCCATGCCTAGAATAGTAAACCTCATCCGAGACTCTGACCCAATAACAGCACCCTCCTGCACAGCCTGTCCGTAATGAGTGAACTGAACGGAGCACAGAAACTCCACCGTCAATGGAAGGCTGGCCCTCTCCTGAACGAATAGAATCCTCCGCCATAAGGAGTCTCCTAGCAGGGAATCAATCTCATCCCAGTACCCCCATTCCTCTAGCATCGTCGGGTCCAGAATCATGGGAGGAAGGAGTGTGCGGTATTGCCCCCATGTCTGGAAGCGTCTGCGATCAGCAATAGTAGCAAATGGGATATCAGGCCGAGGTGGTGGGTCTTCCCGTCCTAGTGGTGGCTCCTCGAAAATGGGATCGTCACGTCTTCCTCCAGACATCTGCAAGAAATAAACAAAGTAAAATATTTTTGGGTTAGTTTTTTTTTTTTTTTTTTTTTTTTTTTTTTGTGTTGGGTTGCCTCCCAATTAGCGCTTCTTTAACGTCACTAGCTTGACGAATGTCCTCCCTTGGTTCAAAATTTTTGGAGATAGAGAATCTCCTTGCTTTTTTCAATTGGACCACCATGGTACAGTTTAAGTTGGTGGCCGTTGACTTTAAAGGGACCCCCATTAGCATCTTCAATCTCAACCGTTCCGTAGGGGTAAGCTTTTATGACCTTGAACGGTCCGGACCATCTTGACTTAAGCTTTCCCGGAAAAAGCTTCAACCTGGAGTTGAACAACAGCACTTTATCTCCAGCATTGAAATCACGAGCTTTGATGTGTTGATCATGGTAGAGTTTGGCTCGTTCCTTGTAAAGTTTGGAATTATGAAAAGCTTGCGCTCTCCATTCTTCCAGTTCATTCAGCTGGTAAAATCGTTCCTTCCCTGCAGTATCCAGTTTAAAACAGACATTTTTCATTGCCCAAAGTGCTTTATGCTCGAGTTCGACGGGTAAGTGGCAAGACTTCCCGTATACAAGGCGAAAAGGTGTGGTTCCGATCGGGGTTTTGTATGCAGTCCGAAATGCCCAAAGAGCGTCGTCAAGTTTAGTTGACCAGTCTTTCCTGGTCTGGGCAACAGTTTTCTCCAGAATGGACTTCAAATCCCTGTTAGCGTTCTCCACTTGTCCCTGAGTCTGGGGGTGGTACGCTACTCCGCTTCGATGTTGGACTCCATATTTGGCCAAAATCCTAGCCATTGGGTCATTGTGGAAATGAGTCCCTCTATCGCTGATCAAAACCCTGGGCACACCAAATCTGGTAAAGAGCTTTTTCAGAAAATTCACGACTACCCGAGAGTCGTTGGTGACACAGGCCTGGGCTTCGACCCATTTAGAAACATAATCAATGGCCACAAGAATGTATTTGTTTCCTCTTGAGCTTGGGAAAGGTCCAACAAAGTCGATGCCCCAAACATCAAATACCTCACAAGGTAAGATAAAGTGTTGGGGCATCTCATTGCGCCCAGAAATGTTCCCGATTCGTTGACAGTTATCACAAGAGGAAACAAATACATTAGCATCTTTAAAAATCGTGGGCCAGAAGTACCCACAGTCCAAAACCCGCCTTGCGGTTCTATTCCCTGAAAAGTGGCCCCCAGTAGGACCGCTGTGACAATGCTCCAGAATGTCCCTTGCCTCAGCTTCAGTAACACATCTTCTCACCACCTGGTCAGCACAAATTCGGAATAGATATGGATCATCCCAAAAATAGTGCTTTGCTTCTGATAGGAACCGCCTTTTCATGTGCCTTGTCAGTTCGGTAGGCTCGACTTTACCAACAAGGTAGTTGGCAATGTCGGCATACCACGGTGTTTGCTCCTTGGCGGAAATCGCCATCAATCTCTCAGCAGGAAAAAGCTCCTCAATTTCGCATTTTCCGAAAGTTTCTGCTAACTCGGCATCTAACCTCGAGAGGTGATCAGCTGCCTGATTAGCAGACCCTTTTCGGTCCCTGATTTCAATATCAAATTCCTGCAACAAAAGAACCCAGCGTAACAGTCTAGGCTTAGCATCATGCTTTTGGAGGAGATATCTAATGGCCGAATGGTCGGTATAGATAATAACCTTCGAAAGAATGATGTAAGTCCTAAACTTCTCTAAAGCACAAACAATAGCAAGGAATTCTTTTTCAGTGGTAGTGTAGTTGAGTTGTGGCCCTGACAGAGTTTTGCTAGCGTAGTAGATTGGGTGGAAGTTCTTGTCCTTCCTTTGACCAAGGATGGCCCCTACTACTAAGTCACTAGCGTCACACATGAGTTCAAAGGGTAAACTCCAATCCGGGGCCACAAGCACAGGAGCATTGATCAGTTGTGTTTTAAGTGCTTGGAAAGCATGGTGACATTCATCAGAGAATATAAAAACCGCATCTTTTTCAAGTAACCGGGTGAGAGGTTTTGCGATTTTAGAGAAATCCCTTATAAAACGACGATAAAAGCCCGCGTGTCCTAAGAAGCTGCGGATGGCTTTTACCGTGGTTGGTGGAGGAAGTTTCTCTATCGTCTCAATTTTTGCACGGTCCACCTCTACCCCGTTACTTGACACCTTGTGTCCAAGTACTATACCCTCTTTCACAAGGAAGTGACATTTCTCCCAACTTAGGGCTAGATGGGTTTCCTTGCAGCGGATAAGTACTTTTTCCAGGTTTTCAAGGCATTTTTCAAATGTTTCCCCAAAAATAGAGAAGTCATCCATGAATACCTCCATGAAGTGGCCAATGTATTTTTCAAAAATGGCAATCATGCACCTCATGAAGGTGGCAGGGGCATTACAGAGACCAAAAGACATCCTACGAAAAGCAAAGGTCCCAAAAGGGCATGTAAACGTTGTTTTGTCTTGGTCTTCCGGGTTGACATGGATTTGGAAGTATCCACTCATGCCATCCAGGAAACAGTAGTGACTATGGCCTGCCAACCTCTCAATTAATTGATCGATGAAGGGAAGGGGAAAATGGTCTTTCCGGGTGGCTTCGTTCAGTTTGCGGTAATCGATTACCATTCGCCACCCGGTAACAGTTCGACTGGGTAGAAGTTCGCCCTTTTCATTTTTCATGACGGTCATTCCCCCCTTTTTGGGGACAACATGAATCGGGCTTACCCACTGGCTATCAGAAATGGGGTAAATGATACCCGCATCCAGCAGTTTGACAATCTCGGCACGCACTACTTCCATCATGTTTGGGTTTAAACGTCGTTGTGGTTGGACAACTGGTTTAAACCCTTCCTCAATCTTGATGGTGTGGGTACAAAAGGCGGGGCTTATTCCATTGATGTCCTCAAGTTTCCAAGCAATTGCTTGCTTGTGTGTCTTAAGGACTCCAAGTAATTTCTCCCTTTGTTCCTCACTTAAGTGTGCGGCGATGACGACAGGGCATTTGCCTTCGTCATCCAAGAATGCATATTCTAAGTGGTCGGGCAGTTTCTTTAGTTCGAGGGGGTGGTCGTTTTTCAAGTTTTGTTCATTTTTCTCCCCCTCAAACTCAGTCAATACTTCGTTAGAAGCTTGATCAATCAGCGCATCCTCACAACTCTCACATGCATCACTCACATCACTGTTGGCCTTTTTTAACAGACATGCTTCATCAGTTACATGTCCATTTTCTTCCCCAAACAGATACCCTTCAATAGACTCAAAGGTATCAAGAAAATGACATCCTTGAAAGGAATCTGTGGGGTGTTTCATAACATCTGAGAGTCGGAAGGTGCAAAGATCATCTCCGACTCTTAGAGTTAATGAGCCATCAGTGACATCAATCAAGGCCCTGGCGGTAGCCAGAAAGGGCCTTCCCAGAATAAGAGGTGTTTCCCTATCCTCTTCCATGTCCATTACTACAAAGTCGACTGGGAAAATGAATTTGTCAACCTTGACCAAGACGTCTTCAACAATTCCTTTCGGATATTTGACTGAGCGATCAGCCAGTTGAAGACACATCCTGGTAGGTTTCATTTCCCCAAGTCCTAGCTTTTCGACTATAGAGGAAGGCATCAGATTGATACTTGCCCCTAAGTCAGCTAGAGCATTATTGAAATTGAAATTGTCAATAGAGCAAGGGATAGTGAAACTACCTGGATCCTTTAGCTTTTCGGGTATTGACCTCAGAACCACGGCCGAGCATTCTGCGTTCAAGTCCACGACTGAGAGCTCCTGCAGCTGCCTTTTGTTTGTCAGCAAGTCTTTGAAAAACTTGGCATATTTGGGCATCTCCGCTAAGGCATCCATCAGCGGCAGGTTGACGTGGAGTTGTTTGAGTAGGTCCAGGAATTTGTTGTACTTCCTGCTATCGTCATCATTTCTAACCCGTGAAGGAAACGGGAGAGAAGGTTTGACGATAGTGACCCTTGTGTTAGGGCGTGTTGGTTCCATGCTCTTCTCAGTTGGAGCATCAGTTTGTTTCTCAGGTTCCATGGTCGGGGTACCTTCCTCTTCCTTGTCTTTCTGCTCAGCCACGGTTGTTTGTCTCCCGCTTCGAAGAGTGATGGCTTGCACATGTTCACGGGGGTTTGGTTCCGTGGTGCTAGGCAAGTTGCCTGGCTGACGACCAGGAACATTGTTCTGATTAATTTGCATCATCAGATTTTTGATCTGATTGTCAGTGCTGGCCTTGTATCTTGTTATTTCCTCCCGTGTCCTTGCCAGTTCTGCTACCAACAAGCCTATCTCTGATGGCTGGGCAGCCTCCGTTTGTCGTTGGTGTGGAGGCACATAAGCTTGGTTGTTCTGTTGGGCTGGTGCACCTCCCTGGTTCCGACTCTGGAAGTTGTTCCCTTGATTATTGTTGGGGTAGTTTTGAATACCTTGATAACCGCCGCGAGGAGGACCATTGTTGTAATCCCCCCGCCATTGGTTACCTTGGTAATTCCTTCCTTGGAAATTCTGAGGAAGGTAGTTGGAGTTACCCCCCCTGTTGCCCTGATTCGCCCATGGCCCTTCTTGTTTTGTTCGGCCGTACTCCAGCATGTTCACTTCCCTGTTGTTGTTTACATTACATTCATCGACTAATTGACACGAGTTGGTCAAATGTGGACCAAAACATATCTCACATGAGAGTACAAGTTCAGTTGAATGAGAAACAGGTGAAAAAGTATTAAATTGAGATGACTGTGGAGCAGAGCTTGAGTTCCCGAAGTATCGGGATGATTGTTGATTCGGGACAGCACCGATGTTGTTGACTTGGTTGGTGTGATTGTTTTCATTCTTCAGATTCTTTACTTCCACGACCAACCCTTCAATCTTTGCTGTTAAGGCCGTGAGTTGGTCAACTTCAAGATAGCCTGGTTTTGTTGCTGCTGGAGTTCTTTCGTCATACCAGTATCTTGCATTTGAAGTGACCTTCTCCACCAGAGCTTCGTTGGTGTTGGGTGCCATGTCAAGGAATGATCCCACCTGAGAAGAGAAATCAAGTTCTTTTTTGCTACTAACTTGAAGTCCATTGTAAAAATGGAACATCAAGCTACTAGAATCCATCAGTGTGAGTGGACATTTGTTTCTCATATCCTTGAAACGATCCCATGCTTCACTTAAGGACTCCATCGGGAATTGCCTAAAGTTCTGGATTGCTGTTTTAATTTTAGCAACTGCCGATGGAGGAAAGTATTCTTGCATGAACGCTTGGTGCAGTGCCGCCCATGTTGTGAAGTGACCCGTTGGAAAGCTATTCAGCCACAAAGATGCCCTATCCCGTAATGAGAAGGGAAATAGGGTCAACTTTGCGGCGTCGGAGGTCACTCCGTTAAAGCGGAACGTTTGGCATGCTCGGGTGAACCACAACATGTGGGCCCTAGGGTCATCTTGCTTGGACCCGCCAAATTGATGGTTGGACATCATGTTGACAATGGCGGGTTTGATCTCGAAATTGGCTGCCTCGATTGCCGGTGCGCTGATACTATCATCCTCGATGAAGTTTGGCGTAAGATTTTGCAACACCGTCCTTTCTCCCGCCATGCTTGGTTTCTTGTGGATTGAAAGATTTTTCCACAAAGTTCGTTCAGGTTCAGGATCAAGTTCAATTAGACCTTCCACTCCTTTAGAGCGGGTGTGCATTCATTTATCCTGAAACCTTTATACAAATTGTCGCAAGGGCGAAAAAGTCTCCCTAACTAGAATTCACCTATGCTAGAACTAAATCAAGAATTAATCGTGCCATTCCCCGGCAACGGCGCCATTTGATAACCGCTTTCGCGGCGTTGTAGTAAAACGGAGTCTAACCTTTCGGTTTTTCCCCGAGTGTCGTGTCTCTTGAGGAATGGCGGAGAAGTTTCTTAATTTAATTTTAGTCACGGGCTATCGCTAATCGTTGGAAGCCTTTTCAATATAGGAAAGTGTTTTTGTTCTTTATTATGCTAAATTATAACTAGGAGCAAGGTGCAATTTAAAGATTAATGTATAAAGACTGATTATTCAAGGATGCAAATAAGGGCAATGAATTGAGTAATTAGAAATGGATATGTTCTTGGACCTCTTAATTAGGGAAATTAAGACTAAAGTTGGACTAATAATTTCTTTCCTCATAGACAAGAATAGAAACTATCTTCATTAATTTATCCTATTTCTAGGTATCATTAATGTGTTTAAAATGGTTGGCTTAAATTATATTCTAAACCCATAGACAAGGTAGAAATAATTTTCCAATATTTTAATTAATAAAAATAGCCAAATTCATTAACTAGTTAAACTCTTTATTTTAGCAATTGAATTTATTTCTCATAGACAAGATGTAAATCCTTTTCATTAAATTATCCTATTTCTAGGCCTTATTAATGTGCTCAAATATGGTTGGCTTAAATTAATTTCTAATCTCATAGACAAGTTAGAATTAATTTTCCAAGAATTTAATTAATGAAAATGGCTAACTATTATTAATTACTATTTCATCATTTTAAACAACTAGTCCAATTTATTAATTTTACCCCCTAATTTTAGGTCAACAAGTCAATCCATATTCCTTTACTCAATTCATGCCCTAACAAATTTAGCTACTCATTATCATTTTTACAATTAACGATATAATAATTAAATTTAACATTAACAAGGAATTAAACATGTATGATAGCAAAAATTAAACAAAAATTATATTCTGGAACAATAAACTTGTAGGAACTAAAATACAACTTTCTGTAATTTTTTACGAATTTTTGAAACTAAAATCCAATTTTAACAACTAATTGATAACTTTCCCAATTTTAACTAGAAAATGCAAAAAGCAACTAAAAATATGCTAACTTCGTTATAAATTTTATTTTTAGCTACTGGGAGGTATATAACTGTGAATAAACTGTAATCAGGTCCGAACTAATTTTTTTTTCCTTTTTTAGTATTTATTTTGATTTAAGCAATAATATAAGGCAATTACCGAAAATTAATAAAAAATACTCTAAATTCGTACCAAATTTTATATTAACTACTAGTAATGATATTTAAGTTAACTAAACTGTAAATAGGGCCGAACTCATTTTTTTCTTTCTTTTCTAGTATTTAATCTAAATTATGAACTAATATCAAATAATCATCAAAATTAATTAAAAATTACTTCTGGTTCGTGAAAAATTAATTTCTTCAGATAAATAACTACCTTGAGGCTAGTGAACAACTATATAATTAATTGGAATGAATTCAACAACAATAACTATTTTATTTAATTTTTGGAAGGAAATGCGAAATACTTGAAAAATAATCTGGAAATTTTCGAAGAACAGATCGAAGAAACAAAGCACAGATTCAGATTCTACACATTGAGAAGATGAAAATACATATAAAGAACTTACAATTTGGAGCTAAAATGAAGAAGATATGAAGATTTGAAGTTTCTCTCTCTCTAAAACCTTTGGAGCTCGAAAATGGAGGAAGAAAGAAGGTGTTTTGAACTGATTTAGGGTTGGAAGAGGTGTGTTTGAGTTGAGGAAAAATCGGGCAATTTATAGGAAAAATTTCCCCGAAGGCGCCCGGGCAGGCGGCCGCCTTCCGGCAGCCACTGGCCGCCTGCCGTCAACTCGCCGGCAACGACACGTGGGCTGGTCTCCGTCAGCCGTAGGCGGCCACAGAGGGCGGCCGCCTTCCGTCACCCATCGGCCGCCTGCCGTCTTTTCACTGTCAAATCGGATCCCGGCGGATCCCGGCGGATCCTGGCCGCCGCAGGCGGTCCAGCAGGCGGCCGCCTGCCGTTCCTGTCTGGCCGCCTGCCGTCAAATCCCACCGGCCGGCGGTTGCTTCGTCGTCTTCTGCCGCAGGCGGTCACCGTAGGCGGCCGCCTTCCGTCCAGTGTCGGCGGCCTACGGTCTTTTCCGAATCCGGTCAAAGTCAAAGTTTGACTTTCCAAAAATACCGTAGGCGGCCGCGAAGGCCTTCGTTTTGGCCGCCTGTTTGGGCGCCTATGAGATTCTTTGTCCGGCTTGTTCCTTGTTTTGTGCTCTTCAATATTGTCTTCTGGACCACTTTGAAATAATGTTTCCTTCTTTTGGTATGATATCATTTGTTGTCCAAATTGGCTCATTTTGTGCTCAATTAACCCGAAATCCCGCTAAACATATTATGGATGTGATTTTTACCTGATTTCATGAAACTCGAACCAAAATATAAAAAATGTGTCTTTTCTTTCTATTTTTATTCAAAAATCGCTTTAATTTGATAAGAAAAATAAGTACAAAAATGGACTTATCACTTAGTATAGTTGTCATTGTACTTGTCAAATGCTTCCAAGTACTGACCTCTCCTTCACGGGGGAGGCCACCTCACAGTTTCAGGTAGGGAGTAGAGCTTGCTACTACCGCTCGTTGCTTCGGGGAATTCAAGGAGGAAGGCGGGGTTCGTGCTTCTCCTGTTTCTGTTTTGAAAACAATTTAAATAATGCTCATGGATATTATTTCGAATATTTATTTGGGGGCTTGTATGCCCGTGGTTGCCACGTGTGGCTTGAATATTTGTAATTATGTTTCCGCTGCTTAATTAAATATTTTACATTATGATTGTTTATGGATGTACTATGTGTGAATGATATTCCAGACGCCTTGTATAATATGGATGTGTTGAACTGCGGTTGACTATTCGTACTGTACGGCGGATTGTTGACGTGTCCGGTTAGGTCCGGGGCGTGACATCATTGATGTCCAACTTCAGGTCCATTAATTCACCATTTGCACACAACAAATCCTCCTATATAAAGGCTGGCAGGTGGTTTGCAACAAAACACGATCTTACACATTCATACACATTCCTCACGTATTTCTGAGCTCAAAAGCACCTCCAGCATTCCGAAAATTTCCTAAGTGTTCATACTGTGTTCTCGTTCGCTGGAACTTTTGTTTGTGTGCTCAAACATTAGTTCGTAGTCATCGTATCCTGGAAAACGATTGTTGCAATGCTCCTAGCACCGTGGGAGGCAACAAATACGTTTTAAGGACATCGTGCGTAGCACGAGCTTTGGCTAAATTCTGCTCCATCCCCTTTCTTGTTTTTCTCTAGTGATTTTATTTAATTAATTTATTTGATTTAATTTTCTTTATTTTCCGAAACACACGCAACATGTACTCGTGATTTAACCTATGGTTAACCGAAACACGCCGAATGGAATGGGGACTTTCGTTAGGAAATACGCAGCGCCCAAAGCAGCTGAAGAGAGAAACCATAATTGCTCATGAGAGAAAATTAAGGTGGGAGAACTAAGATAAAAAAAAGGGGTTTGTTCAAGAATACTACTAAATAAAAGGATTTGGACAAATATAGGATTTACTTCAATTATTTCCAAAAAACAGACCATACGGTAGACTCTTTTAAAAAAATGGGAAGGAAATTTCCCATATGCCCCGCTGATAAACTTTGTACGAACAGAAACTCTCCAGGCTATTTCCCACGTTCTACTTCTACGGATGTTAGCAAGGACAAGGGGTTTGTTTTGAGTTTTATAATCTTTTCCTTTTACATTACTCAATTACGATTTATAATTAATAATTGAACTTACTCCCCTTCAAAAATAAAATAATTGAATGATAAAAAAAAAATTGAACTTACTAGTTACAATTATTTGTCCGATCATTTATAGTTATATAATTCGATCAGTTATAGTTACCTAATTTGATCAACTATAGTTACCTAAATTGACCAATCACAATTACTTAACCCAATAAATTACAGTTACCTGATCCGACCAGTTACAGTTATCTGACTCGATCAGTTAAAGTTACCTAACTTGACCAGTTACAGTTACCTGACCGGACGATCAGTTACAATTATCTGACTCGGCCAGTTACAATTACCTGACTCGACCAGTTACAATTATCTGACCCCACCAGTTACAGTTACCTGACCCGACCAGTTACAGTTACCTGACCCGACCAGTTACAGTTACCTGACCCAACAAGTTACAATTATCCGACACGACCTATTACAATCATCTGACCCGACAAGTTACACTTACCTCCTGATTCAACCATAAACAACTATCTGACTTAACCTGCTACCGTGACCATATTTACGAGTTATTGTTGTCTAATATGATCATTTACAATTACTCGGCCCAATAAGTCCTGTTTCCCGTTCCGTCAGTGACCGCCATCGGTCACCATTGGCAGCCACCACCACTCGCCACACTGCCGGCCACCAATGTCGTTGAACCACTGCCGCACTCACTCCGGCGCCCGGCATTCCCAACCCGTCTTTAACCCATAGCGCCCACCATCTACCCCCGTCACTGCCGAGCCGGCCACCGCCTGGCCCGTCCACTGCCGAGTGCCGCATGCCGCTGCTGCACCACATAGTACCAGCTCTCAGTGGCAACGAAACTTCATAAACCTGTCAGTTATATGGTGACACCACCGTGACCAGGACATCGCCGCCGGCCCAGACACCACCTCTACCCCAAACACCGCCACCACCCTAGCCACCAAGCCGCCTGGAAACCGCCGCCGTCCCGGACACCACCTCCACCCCGGACACCGCCGCCACCCTAGCCACCAAGCCGCCTGGTTCGTCCCTGCCCCATAAGACCTGTCACTACCCCACAAACCCCACCAGTCCATCAATGTCCCACCAACATCCGCCCGCCATCCCCCAACACCCAACTGTGTAACAACTAGCCAAGGCCGCAGATCTGAATATTGAATGTCGTCGCCGCTATATTAATTCTATCAAGAAAGGAGAGGATTCGAAATCAGATAAGAAGATATAGCAAGGGAGAAAATGACGATTCGAAACTCAAATCTGGATTAACCCGGCCTAGCCGCGAAGAAAAACGATTCAAAATCGGAGACGAAGAAGACAGAGCAAAGAAGGCTTCGCCCCTCGCGGCAATCTGGAGGAGGAGTCGACGACCTGGAGGCGGAGGCGGCGACTCGTTGGCGATGACCGAAAGACGGTGGTGAGGCGGCGAACTGGATTTGGAGGCGAAGACCTGAAGACGGAGGCGAGGCAGCGCAGACCTGGCCTGGATTTGGAGGCAGAAGAAGTGTTCAAAATGCAGATGCCAATTGCGAAGGATAAAGGGGAGAGTCCGAGACGATGAGTTTGGTTATTGTGAGGGTACCGATGTCTATACAGGTTTATTTAGTCAGTTTTCTGTCAATTTTAAATTCAACCTTAATTTTGTCCGGAGCAAAGTCACGGGTCTTCTTTGCGTCATTATTTCTAAAAAAAAACCCTTTTTCTTAAAGCTTTTGTGTGTTTTAAATTTTTGTTCCAACTTTTTTGAAAATAATACCAAATTTCATAATTTTTATTTTCTTTCATATGACCCTAATATTATATATATAAAGTTTAAAAAAATTTGAAGATCATACCGAGTGAAAAGATCAGTTGCAATCATGCTCCGTCACTAAACCTAATTGTAAACCAATTCTTTTTACAAAAATGGGATTATCTAATTTGTTAATTTAAGTTCAAATTTTTTCATAAATAGATCCAACTGTTAAGAGCCCGTTTGGTAACACTAAAAATGGCTGAATCGACTGATTCTACATAAATGTATGAAGTTCTGGCTGAAGTGACTGTATTGACCGATTCTGCTTATTTATGAAAAATTATATTTAAAATACTTTTTAATAATAAATAAAGAAAAAGTTGTATAAAAATAGCTAAAATGATAATCTAGAGTAACTTCAACCAATATAGTCAGAAAAGTAACTTCAACCTTACTTTTCCTTATTATTGAAGCAACAACAAACCCGAATCATCTAGAGACGACGACTCACTATATCTAAACGGCCCCTTCGTGTTCTCTCCGCCCTAGGCTTTTTTGCATTTTTAACGCGTTTTAAACACTATCGTTTTTTTTAGTAAAACACGTTTAAAACGAAAGATAATGCCGGTCCGTTTAAAAAGAAAAACACTTGGCCTTTTTATTCAAATATTACTCTTAATTAAGAGATTTAGAATAAAGTGAGTTAAGTTTTAAAAGTCCAAAAATATGACTTTCGGTATACACCAAATCGCTGCACACCTAGGAACAAGGTCAATAATCTGTTGCACAGCAATCCATTTAACACCCGGTATAACTTAAAGGCTATTAATGAATTTTAATACAAAAAAAAATAGGAAAAAGTTTCTCTGGCAGTCCACAACAACCACCACTGCTACCACCGGCGCCGCCAGCAGTTTTGCCGCACCACCGCCCAGTGCCTTGCTCCGGCCATAGTGACCGCCGCTCAGTGACTTGCTCCGGCCATAGTGACCCCCTCTCAGTGACTTGCTCTGGCCATAGTAACGTTGCTCAGTGACTTGCTCCGGCCATAGTGACCTTGCTCAGTGACTTGATCCGGCCATAGTGACCACCTTGCTCCGCCTAGTGACTTGCTCCGACCATAATGACTACCGCCCTACCCCGAATAGTGACTACAACCGTGCCTCTGCCAGAGACCATTCCGGCCACACAGTCACTACAACAGTTGCTGCCACCGCTCCGGCCAACCACCGCATCCCAATGACTCCGTCATTGTCAACCTCAACGTACCAGTGACTCTGACGTAACCAGTCCCACCCCAACCCAGTCCCCAGCCCCACAGCACCCTCCCCAGCCCCACAACACCCACCCCAGCCCCATCAACACTACCCTCCCCAGCCCCACTACACCCTCCCCAGCCGCACAACACCATTTCCGGCCCCGAACAACATTGACGAACCCCAGGTCCACCCACCAACGCAACAACACAGCCCCTCAAGCCACGCCCTAGCCTCCAGCCTCACCCCAGCCACCTCCCTACCCCTACCCCAACTGAGTCACCCAGCCCGACACCGTCTCATTCGTCCACGCTAGATCTGCGCCGTCGCACGAACTTAAATCTTAGATTGAAAAGGAAAAGCTCTGAAATTCGACCTGGAATCTCGATTGGCAACCAGATCTGCTCTATAACAGCGATGTGGTGGCGATTTGCGGTCAAGAAAGGTGAAGAAGAAGAATAAAGGTCTGGTTGTTGCAGCAGAGGCAAGTCGAGGCTTAGAGTCAGACCGGCGGAGAGGAGCCATGGTCGTGGAAGGAGAAAAGGTGCCTCGACCGGCGGCTGAGAGGACAAAGAGTCATGGATGGCCGTATTGAGAGTTAAGTGCCATGGATGGCCGTGCTGAGAGCGAATTGCCATGTCTAAGAGAGAAGGCTATGCGATTTTTTTTATAGAATGAAGGCTATGCGAGTGGTTGGGAGACGAAAAGACACATTTTTGTCAAAAT